CTTTAATGTACACATTTCCAGGGGAGAAGCGGTCTGTGGTGCCAGGACAGAGAAGATGGAGACATCCATGCACAGCCTGTCTCTAACCCTGCCATGGCTCGGAGGGAAGGGGGCTGGTCACCTACCCAACACCATTCAGCACAAATCCCCCTCTGAACTGCTGCTTGTCCCTGCCTATAGCCACAGGAGGGCATCAATTAAAATTAGAGGCATAGTAAAACGGGGAATAAGAGAATGCTTTCTATAAATACACCTTAAACAAACAGGCTTTTTTTAACATGGAAAAAAATATTAACCAAAACAGTGGATATCTCACAGCTCTTATTGTTTAGAAACAGGGATTTTATTTTTCCATTCTGGTCTTAATTTTTCCATTCTCTCTCAATTTGGAGTGCAGTGCAAATACAGTACAGCTACATTTCTGCTTTCCATCCTACACCTTGCAGATTGCATTGACAAAAATTTAAGCAAAAGGATTGGTCAGGTTACAAGGATCATTTGATTTACAGGATTACTCTTAGACTGGAGACATACCACACTCTCCTGCAGGAGACCAGGAAAGAATGTTGTGTGTATTATGTTGCATATTTTTATTAATTTCCTTATTGTCTCTCTGAGTTCATACCAGTTATGAAGGAGAAAACTTTCAGTGTGAAATCTTGCTTATCAAAGTTGTTAAATAAACTCAATTCCTTAAGCACAATGACAACAGCAATCAATCAAACCAACCTACTTTTTGTTATATTCCCTGGTGGGAAAGTCTTCTGAAAGCTGATTGTTTGTATTTATGTTCAATACAGGCATTAATAAGCCTAAGAGAGCTGCAGAAATGAAGATTAGTCATAATAATTGCATATAGCAGAATATTCCGTGGCAGCTGTATCAAGATAAATGCATTGCATGCACATGTATTTTTTGAAGGATTATCTCTGCTTTTTTTTCTATATTAGTAACTGAGCAACAGCAGACTGCAAGTGTATTCATAGAATTTGAATAAAACATTGACTGAATCGCATTTGTAATTGTTTAATTTCATTTACAATAGTTTTGAGGGCCTGAGCTACCTCACTCAAATACCCAGGAAGTGTTAATGTCAGCCTCATCTATTAAAACAAAAACCAAGCTTAAAGATATGCTTTCTATTTTGATAATTAGCTTTTTCACCATGATGTTGCTGACAATGACATTTCCAACCTCTAATTGAGACCCCTGTAACTTTGCCCTCTGCTTTTCTCTTTCTGCTTACCTCTGAGAGTGCAACAGAGTGCAACAGAGTTGTGGAAATCCACAACTCTGGAACACCCAGGTTACATTTAATGCACTTGTTCTTTAATCTGGTGGTTATGCCAAAGCTATAGGGATAACTCTTATCTGTTAGGAACACGCCCTCTCCATGATTGGAGAGGAGAACAAGGAGATTGTGACAGGTACATAGGGCATCTACTATTCTCCAGGGAGCAGGGACCAGTGTGTAGGCATCTCTTCTCCCTAGATCTGTATCTGTGCTATCTTAAGGGTTTGTAACCCTTGTAAAGTTGCTTTATGGAGGTGTTCAGGGAGCTGCTGTGGCTGGGCTGACTCTCACTGGGTTGGGGGACCCTGACAGCAGTGGCAGAAAGGTCTGGCAATAGAAGGACTTCATGGCAGAGGCAGGGAGCCACAGAAAGCCCAGGAGCAGACACTGAGCTGCAGCCCCTGTGCACTCACAGCACTGGTCTCCTCTGGTGGGAGCCGTCACGGCAGCGCCGTGGCTGCTCCAGGCTGGCAGCTTTACCAGATCCATGTGACATTAAGTCTTTTGGCAGGGAAAACTTTGTGGAAAAAGCAAAAGTTGTGCTGGATCTTGTTTTGATTATTTGTTTCTAACCTCACTACAGATGGAAAAAATTTCTCTGGCAAGCGTGTGCTTGTTATTTTCCTATTGTTTTATCCTCCTACCAGCTCTCAGTAGGGATGAATAATCCTCAAAATGCCACTCTGAAAGCTGACTCTTAGGCCAGATTACGGAGCTGCAGCACTGGGGATGGAGCTTTTCCTTCTCTTTTATTTCTTCCTCTTCACTTTATTCTGCTTCTGCTTAATTCTCTCTTCGTCCTCTTTTCTTTCTGCCTTTCCAAAGACTAAGTGCAACCAGCAGTCCCTTCAGCAAACAACCCCTTCTTTGTCTTCCCAGTTCTGTCTGGAGGTGAGAGATATGGTGAACATCTCCATAATCAGGACAAGTAAGGTGTAAGCAGTTCATCATGCATAGGCAAGTGTATAAAGGAGGACATTTGGTGAGTATTTTTCACCAAAAAAAAAAGAAATAAATTTGGGAGTATCGATGTAATTTGCGGTAAATTTGTAGCTCCCGAATCAAACTGAGCCAAAGATTAAGTTTGAGTTGTCCCTTCACAGACACATACAGTCTTTTGAATCTCAGAGGCTGAGCAGAAATCTTGGGTAGCTGTGGGCTTTGCACAAGGTGAAAAGTTGCTGTCAAAGAACTAAAATACAGATTCTCTGCTTCAAGGTCAAAATGTGACATAGGAGAAGATGGGTAATGAGGAGGCAAAGGGAAGGGGAACAGGAACAAGTGAACTTTTCTGCAACATCAGGGCCTTCCTGCAATTGGATATCTCTTGTCATTGGGCAGATACAACAAATTTTTCTACTAGAGCATGAGTGAGGTTTTTTTAAAGCACAATGTTATTTCAAAACCATAGGATTTTCCACACTCAAACTATAACCCATAAGAAATATACTTGACATTATCATGAGAAGTAAGTTTATTTCAGGATTGCTTTAGGTTCATAGGATTTATGTTACAGATAGGTAAGTGATACATTGCAGTGCCAAAGTCATATAGAGGAGGATTATGCAACACTTAGCTATATCTGGATCTAAATTTAGGCCTTTTCTCCCACCTATTTTAATGTCTTAATTTCAATAAAAATGTTTATTGCTCTACTTGAAAATATAAATCATTCGAACCACAGTTTTGTTCTTTGGTTTTAGGGTTAAATTGTGATTCCTCTTGTTTGGAAAATGAAGAACTTTTCCTCACTGTGGAAAATTAGTTTGTAACATAGAAAACAAAGCATATTGTAATGCCACTCATAATCCCAGCTGTCTCCACCTGTTATTTGCCTCTCTGAAATAGGAAATAAGCATCCAATGATGTAAGGAAATAGCACTTATACCTGATTACTCACAGCTTTCAAAGCACCTTATGACACATGTAACTGTTGTTGCAAATAGCAACACAAGGTCACGATATCCCAAGCCTCTGAGCCCACACTCTTAGCTGCGTTTCAAGATGCAGACTGCTAGAGAAGTTGAAGGTAAGCTATGGTGCTTTTCCAGATGCCCTCTCACATTCAACCCTTAAGCCCCAAAGGCTGCATGGTCTCTCAGCCGCCTGCTGTTCCAGCAACTCAGTTCTGGTTTGAGGTTGTATCAGCCAATCCAGTGAAAGAGAAGGGGATATTCCAGAAACTTTACTAGTCAGTCATGATCTTTTCAGATCATAAATTCTGAATTGCCTCTGCTTAACGCCCATCAGCCAGAGCAGGATCCTTGCTTCCCCATCCCACTCCTCCCATAGGCAAAGTCTCTCTCCACATCCCGTCTTGTATCTCTCTCCACACTGAGCTCTCCGGTACATTCAGGGTGATGTCCTGTGATGAAGAAGTCCAGACCACAGAGGAGCCTGGATGGAAAACAGCTGAATTTCAGCTCCTGCAGCTAATGGGATATTGTAACAATATTTCAAAATAGAAAATATTTATGGTCAGAATGTGTTTTTGTTGTTTCTTCAATGGCACCAACATTTTCCACAGTAGCCACCTTTTTCTTTTTTTTTTTTTTTGTGAAGAAATTTGTTTACTCAATCCCCTAATATTCTTAGTCGTTTTTTGGAGGTGGGAGACCAGTTCCAAACCACACTGTATTGGTTTACTATGGGCTGAGTTACTTCTCTTTGCTAAGATATTTGGCCTTCAAAATTTGAATTTAAGTCCCTCGTTGGGTGGAGGCTGCCATATTCCCACCATTTTCCTCCAGCCATGTGCACTCAGCATGAATGCTGTGAGTAGACCATGAGCTGCTGGTCAGACATGTTACCCTCTAGATGTTCCATGGAGGTAGCAGCCAGTCAGCCCCGGTGTGCATCCTTGGGCCAGGATCTCATATCCTCACTATAAAAAGGCATTTTTTGATGAAAAGTTTGAGTTTGGACCTTTCTGTATTTGCTAAGCATCACAGAAAACTGAGGCACATTTCAGATAACATCACAGAAGAATGCTAATGTCTGCTACTAAAAATCTTTTCTCCTCTGGGAACAAAATCCCCCTCTCCCAGTAGGCCTCTAGACCTCCTGTTTTGCCAGTCTGGTTGCAGGAACTTTAATAGAATAGCAATTTATTTTCTTTTAAGCAATTCCTTTCTTTAAAAAGCAAACCTTTCTTTTTTTAACTTTTGCTGACTGCTAATCTTGGTAAAATCTAGTGCTCATAAAACTACAGCACTGCCCTAGGATTTTTTTGCAAGACTGAGTTATTTCTTCCTGCTGAACTTTCAAATTGCACAAAAAATATACTACTACCCTTTGCTAAAAATATGTTCTCTGTTTACACTCAGAAATAAATCTGTCAGCAGGTATCCTGATAGATGCAGACTTTACTATTACTAGTTAATAAACAATGACTTTGTCTTTCTGAATCTTTCAGTAACTTATAAATGGCCTGTTTATTTCATCCTTACCTGAGGTTTGTTATTCTGATGGCAGATAAGGAATTATAACTTCTATTTATTTTCCCTTGCACTATATTGATTTTTAATACCTCATTGGGGGCACCCTTTAAAAAAATAAATGGTTGAAGAGTTATAATATGTATAAAATACATATTACCCATTCAATTTACTTTTGAATATTTCAAATATAGCATTTCCACTTAAAATATTGTGACGTTTTCTTCCCTTCCCCCTTCCCTTCCCTTCCCTTCCCTTCCCTCACCTCACAAGACTGTTAACACTGCCTGGCTTTATTCCACTTGGGAATTACCAGCAGGGAAGTCTGCTGTACATTTAAAGTGATTTATCTTCTTTTTACAGTAACTACTTTGTGGTTTTCATTATGGTAAGAGAAGCAGAATTAGGCAAAGAGGCACATCTTGTGTGAGGTGAACATAAAATGGCACTAAATCGTGTTTCTATTTCCGTATGGTTTTAATCTAGAAAAACAATTGGTTGGGTTTTATTTCATATGATGATAATTAACACAAACAATTATTGATTTAATTTACTTATTTTTTCTCCCTGCCAATATGGTTCAAAACTACAGTTTCTCATACAATTAGATACTACAAAGAAGATGATCAGATATATCTGCAGACACAGACAATTTTTGTACAGGCCAAATAAGAGAGAGATTCTGGTCTCCAAGGGTATAAGCTGGTACTGAAAAACCTTATCTTTTCTCAGTTATGCCTTCATTCTCTTGCAGAGCTGCTGTCAAGATCAAGATTCATGGTTTTCCCCATGGCTGCACAGGAAAACATTATATTTTTCATCATCTGATAAAGCTCGTTAAGATGTTGTCTGCAGCACTTTTCATAGGTTATTTGTTCTCGGTGGCATGTTACACCATTTTAAATGATTCCCAAGGGAAATAAGGGCCCTGTTATTCAGCTGTTGAGATGAGAGAGACAATCCCTCACATTCCAAAATGGAGGGAGATATATTAATAAGAAAACAATGGAAAAATGCTCTGATTGTCACAGATCTGAAGCTCCTTTCCATTGTTCTTCTTGGGAATAATATCTGATTAAAGACTGCAAGACTTGGCCCAGTGTACATCTATTTAATAACTGTTCTGACAGAAAGTGAAATCTATTCAAATCTGTGCTTCTGACTGTATCAAATCATTAATGTAACCACGATTAAGTTTAATGGGAGGAATAGCCCAGTTTTATGGGGCTGCTCTGACAGACCCAAACAGCCCACATGTGCTAGCTGCAAACAGTCATTAAGTCAGCATGCTACAGCAGGAAATGTTGCTGCAGCAGAGTGCTACACAACCATCAATATATTAGTGATAAAGGAAAAATCACAGAAGCATTTTTGAGCTATCAGTCACAAAAACACTTCAGAAAAGCACAGTAACCAGGTCCCATTAGTTTCTAAATGTGTTTCTGGATGCAAGAAAAAGAAGTATGCAAAATAAATGATCCTTTATCCTGGATAATTGGCATCTGTGCCTGCTGATTATTATTGATCACTTGTCCAAAAATAGCCTGAAAGCTACAAAAGAATAAGAAATGCTTTATTCTTGGTCTTTCAGCCATTTTTACCTGCTTGGTGCCAAGGGGGTCACTCACTACCTGCAGATTGGACAGAAGCAGATTCCAAATAGGATGGGGGAGAGAGTGGGAGAGTAGATTCCTCATGCAATCTCCTTTTTGTTTGTTGTGGTTCTTTATTTTTCCTTAGGTAAGTAAGGAAATGTCCTGAAGTGGTGTCTGTCTGAAGTGGTGCCTTCATTAATGTAGATAAACCATGATCCAGAAAGCTGGCATCTCAAGTTGCTTTCTAAAGAAACATGCAAGAACTGCAAGGTCTGCAGCCATGGCCTTTAAAATTGAAGGGCCTCATCTTTACAAGGACCGACAAATGTGAAGTTGCTCCTGGAGCCCACATTGAGGAGTTGAGGTCACGGATGGATGGAGCTGGCACTCACCTTAGCTCCAGCAAGCCAAAGGCATGTGGAATTTCACATGTGGGTCTTACTGCAACTATCCTTGAGAGCCTGAAGTAAAGGAAGGGGTGTGCTGGGGAACGACACGACACTTGACCAGATCCGTGACAAAAGGTTCGTTCATTCAAGTTAGATTTAGTACTGATGTCTACCAATGTTGTGGTTTCCATCTGCAAGTGTGTCTCAACCCTGGAATACATTTGGTATTGTCAAGTTTTAATGTCAAATTAACTTGCCTAAAGTTGAAGCCAGACCCTTGCGGTATCTAAGCAACTGTTCCAAAACAGTGGTTAACAGGAGGCTGGGATGAGCAGAGCTGGAGGCAGTGAGATCTGGCACTGCACATCCACTGTCTCCTTCTGTTTTGGGCAAGGTCGTTTGTATGCGTTCACCTGAGGGACTGTCTGACCATCTTTGGACTGCAGTCAGTGTCCCACTTGCTGCAGGGCTCTTTTCCCTCACCTTCCTGTAACACCATTTTCATGGCAAAGCACATTGAAAAACAGTGCTTTCACATACAGCGAGAAATTTAAGCTATAAACCAGGAGTGCGTCAAGGTGTTTTTACCCACACTCTACTCAATTCCCTTGCCTTTTTTCCTACTTTCCATTCAGTTGAACCAGAGGAGCCAGAAAATACCTATAAATTGTCTCTGACCTTGAAGTCCTGTTTTACCCTGTTGACCAGACAGCAGGCACAGCAGGTCAATGTATGTTCCTGCTGGTCCTGCTGTACTCTTCAAGGGCAATCAAAGTCCTGCATTCCAGTTTCCAACTAAAGTTCTGGAGAGAAGAGCTGTTTTTTTCTTACAAGGAATTACACCCCTTTGTGTTTAGTCAATAGAGAAAGATGACACTTGCAGAGGGTAATCAGGGATGCCTAAGGCAGGCTCTGGTGCTCAATTCCCCTCTGAAGGTGACCTTCCCTATACATATTGCCTGTGTAGGAAACCTGTTGTGCAAGATCCCTGCTAGACAGTTGGGTTTCCCCAGGTTGCAAATCTCCCTTGACCTGGATGGCACTAGCTCCCAGTCTTACCTTGCTGACTCTTCTTGCAAATGTTCTTGCTCCCTAGAATGGGTATGAGGGTTTACTGTTTAATTTAGTCTAGACATTAGATGAGAAATGGGGCTTTAGCGTGTGTGCACTCCCTAGACATCAGCTTGCAGCCGCAATGGCACACCTTGTTTAGTTCAAGTAGTCCACCTTCACTAATCAAGCACAGTTGCAAAACATCATGATAATTGTCAAATGCATACCATGACACCTCATTGGGGCTCATAAGCAATTCAGAGCTCAGCCTAAATGGAGGAATAGCTTACATCAATAGAACCTTTCAGGATCATTTAGGAAAAGACTACTGAAAGCAGCAGGCTGTTCTGCTTTCTGCCTAGCCCACAATAACTCCCAAATAAGAATATTGAACTGAACTAGATTGACTTTTATCCTGTACTCTGCTCCATACACTGCTTTCCTGCCTGGCATTTAAGTGGAAATATCGCTGTTCTGCATCATGGCATGAAGGCTGAACATGGCAATGTGCTTACCAACTTATATTCAAGTCACCCCCCTAGATGATGTGTTGGTGAGTATTAAGCCACAGTCACCTCCTAGCAGTAATTCTCAGTGATGTGGTTCACTGGTGATTGTCACAGCCACAATAAATGGTCCATGAATGATAAAGGCCTTGTGTTAGGGAAAGGCAGTGCTTGCTGAGCCATGTGGCTCAGCAGCTGCCTCCCCACTGCCTCCCCACTACTGCAGGGCCCCAGGTGACTGGCCAGGGTCAGCAACCCTGCAGAATGGGCCCTGAAAAACAAATAATTGAGGATAATGGGTTTCTCTAGAGCATACTTCTGTATGTACCAGAGAAACATCTGGCACAGTGACTGATATCAAAACAAGGAGGTAGTTGAGGCATACTACCAACCCAGCCTGAAGTGTTACTGTCCCTAGGTACATGTCTAAATACTGTTCTTTCTTCCAGACATGAGAGCTCAGATTTGAGTTTGGATCTGACTCATCCAAAACAGCTGACAGGGGCAGTAAATCCTGGATAATTTCTTTTTTCCTAATTTGTTCCCAATGCTGCTGAGTAATTCCTTCATAGAGCCGTCTTGTTGAGATACGTGTCTCACTCTAAATTTCCACTTCTTCCTACTTCTCCATCTAACTATTTTCTTGCAAAGATACAAGTGAAGAAGGAAAGAAGCAAGGTGGCTGAGGACATGCCACAGGCACAGGCTCACTGCAAAACCCTCCCTTGCTCTATCTGAAGACAACGGAAACAAAACGCGTGACACTGGATTTTACACAGTATTTCTCAAGTGGTGTTAAACTTCTACTTGTTACAGTTTATGGCTACATTCTGTCTCCTGCTCTCAGCTTAAGCAGTGCTCAGTGGGAGTGCTTTACAATGGACACTTCACTGCTGCTGGCACTGATTTTGCTGCCTCTTATATTTTACTCTTGTACTTATGGGAAAACACCATGTCCTTGAAACATGTCTGTGCTCATCTAGAAATCTCCAATTTTGACATAAATTAGTATCATATTCATATCTCCTTTTCTTCTGTACTCTTTTCAGTGTTTTGTTTCTGAGATCTCAGTCTTGCCAGCCCCTAATCTATGCAGGCTTGACGTTAGGCACATGAGTAACTCCACAGAAATGTTAATGCTCACAGACCTCAGCCCTTGCTTTTTAAATTGAAACTTGGAGCATCAGCCTTCAGTGATCTTTATATGTGTGAGTTTTATAAGACTCACCCACTGGTGATCCTGGTTATTACATCCGTGGCTGTAACACTATAGTAACTTGTTTCATCTGTAATTAGTGTGACACAAGCCAGCCTAACAGCCTAATATGTTACCAGTGGGACAGGGATTGCATCTCTGCCACCAGAAAGCAAAGTTCAGCTGCCTGAGGCTGTCCTTAATATGATAATTGTGTCACCACATGTTGATGACTCAAAACCACGAAACAAAAGATGGGGCAATTCAAACCCCTGCATCTGGGAGGGTCTCTGTGTCCAGCTGCCTCCCAAAATCCCAGCCCACTGGCAATATTGTTTTCTCAGAGAAAATGCCCTAAGGCCATTTTACAAGTGGATTTATAGATCTGAATAGAATAGTAATACTTTAGGTACTGAGCTCCATGGAAGTAACTCAGGCAAGTAGCTTTAATTCACAAGTTACTACTTTTCCTTTAGTACTAGCATCATCTTCAGCCTTTTCTTTCGAGCTTTTCCATTTGTTACCTCTTTAGCTTTGCCCTGTGTTTTGAACACCAGTAATCAGATGTTAGTGGTGTACAGCCCTGAGCACTGAAGGCTTGCTTCAGATCATTTTTCACCCTTCCCTCAGAGGACAGAGCTGTGCTAAGCAGAGCGAATTATGTCAGTAACTAAAACTTCCCAGGAAATGGGGGGCATGAGAGAAAAAAACAGGAAACCTACCGAGGACTGAGACTGAGCCCATCCTTGCTAAGGATGCGTGTCCCCAGAACTGTAAATCCACACCCTGTCTGTTCAGATGATGTTGGAAAAGGTCTAATAGAGTGTTCTTGTTTTAGTTAATCATTCCTTCAAGCTCTCCCAGACAAGCTGGGTTGCACTCCACGGGGTCAGAGTGATCCTTGTACTCACAACCAGTGTTCCCTTCTTTTATTAGTGTATCGACAGCACAATTTTTACTCCAGTAACACAACAGTGTCAGGGCCTCATTTTCCATGGCATGAAACTATTCCCACTTCACCTGGTAGCAAACAGAGCTCTGCTTGTTTTCAAAGTAGACAGACTGTTCCTACCTCGTATACCTTGACTTTGTCTTGAAAGTTTCTTCAGACAATGTACA